AGTTGATGAACACAACGCTCGAGCCGATACCTCGATAGCCAATAGCAATTGAACGTTGACAATCATGCAATATTTATGTCTGGATAATCACTTAACCCTCTTTCTTCTGTTTCAGGTAAGTCGATTACGCTCGTAACGCCAATTCCAATTACCAGCCGGAGCTCCCATCACCGGCCGATTCAACCGATAATTAATTATCCACGCGTTTTGGGATGCAATTTGCCACCGGTTCGACGCATATTATACCACCACGAGGGGGGTGTATACACGCCCCTTCCCACCTACAGTAATGAGATACGCCGCAAGTATGCGAATCGCAGCTATAGAACGGTATTGCCATGTTCATTATTATTACGGTCTTAACGTTTAATTTACTAATGATTCGTACGCGACGTACACAATCCCCCCTCTCCCTCCTCCTCGGGGGATTAATCAGTTAAGGAGCCCAGCCATTGCGATCGTATCGGAATTAATTGTGCCTCGTTTGTGGTCGATGGCCATTTCTTTCATCCCGATCGACGAATTTTTTCCGATTTTTTTCACTTGGAATCTTGGAATCTTAATTGTAGGTTGCTTACTCATTTGTCTAAGGGGAAAGTTTTGAGAAAAATAGTGTTTGTGTGTGTGTGTCACACGTGTATAAAATGTTTTATTAATTTGTTTCGCAGTTGAAATATTCGTTTCTTTTTTATTACGTCTCTCGTAGAGAGTGATGTTATTAATCATTATCTTTGAGTTATCTTTGATATTTGATGGAGGATACGCAATTACGTAGCGGGGAAGAATGGTTTGAAAATGGTTTTTCAGGGGAATTATTCTTTCTCGTCGTGGGTGGAGTTTTTTACAGTGATGTTAAAAGATTCTTAGAGCGTCAGAACGTTTACTCCTTATAATTCGACGAATTGATTGATACCTTTTAATAAAAAAATATATAAACGAGCCATTGATCTCTCTCTCTCTCTCTCTTTGTTAAATTAACAATCTCGCTGCGCTCGTGCCTCGTTCGAGCGCAATTGAGGCACTTGTAAATAAGCTAGCCATTCATTAGATCGAAAGAATTAATCCGCAAGAATAACAGATTATATCGTAATGATGGAATAAATATCTACAATTGTTCCACTCGAAGAAAATTTTATATCATCCTGCATAATAAATTTTTCGCTTCGAGTTTCCATACTATTTCCAGTTGGAAAAAAGAGAAAACGAAAGATGTTTAATTTATAAAAAGAATAAAAAATATCCAAAGCTTTTCTCGAAACGAAGAATTCTCGTTAATTGCCACGAGGTTAAAAATAAATCTCTGCCAACCATTCTCTTACGTAATCCTCGATCGTTCGCATAATTACATTGTCCCCGAGGCGCGTACACCCACGGACCTTCTTGCACAAACGAGATTTTTTCCAATCGTTTAACGATCCAGGATAAATAGCCGTGAGTCAACCAATAACTCAATTTCCAAAGAAAAATTTAAATCTCCTTTATCGATAACGATTGCATCAAATCGATTAAATTCTCCGCACGTCCCTCGTCCCTCTAAAGTGCTAAAGTTTCTCACGTTAGAAGGATAATCATTCTCGTCGATATCGCGCCTATGCATTCTCGATAGAGGGAGATTTCGTCTAGATACGATCGATTCGTACAATTGTAGGCGAGGTTAATCCTCTTTATCGTTTGTTTAGGAAAACGCGTATCGATTTCCCAGAGTGAGAATCGGTTTTGGAGCCGGCCAGACCCCGGCTATTTGTGTCGTTCAAGCATGGATATGGAAAATGGATACAATCCGGTTTTGTATGCAAATGTGAGATCGACTTGCGTTTACAGGTTAATGCGGTAGCTCGGTTCGAGTGGCTTTGAAGTTCCTGAACGGTTATTGCGGTGTAACTGTTGTTATATTACATCGCGTGAGTATTTCATCATAGAAAGGGGGGGAAAGGGGAGGGAGGGGAGATAGAATGGGTTGTTTTAAAGCGGAGAATTTAATAACTTTGCGTAACGATTGTTGTGGTGTCATTTATATTGTTTACATTGTAGAAGAAAAATCTTATATGCGGCGAAAGAGAGATAATTTCCGTTAATATTTCAACGGTGAAAAGTTTTTTGTATCTCCGGGATATAGAGTTATCTTTGAAAGTGGTATGAAATAACGAAATAGCGACATTCAAAGTAGAATTTACAGAGGTTTGAGAATGAATTTCATTCTCATTCATATTTAACGCTTAAACTTTTCTGCTCACCTGTGACCTATCACGGATTAAAGTTTAAAAATAGGAGCGGTTCCTTCGAAACGTCGAAATTCTTCGACACGAATCGTAGAGTTAAAAAAAATCTTTTCTCAGACAGTTTCTCACCTTTTTTTCTTTTTTTATATCCGTTTAATCGAGTGCAATTCTCTCAACTTCTCGTCTATTCAAACATCGTATATTCTCCTCGTATATCAGCTAATATCAAATGGGGCGCTATCAAATCCCACCGACTGTACGCATACAAAGCTTATAGTGAATTTACCGGGAACACGAGTCGAGAATCGCGATAAAAGCGATTATAAGCGTACGCCGCCTTCCATTTCGCGCAAAATATCCCAGGAAGGAGTTAAAGTGCTTAGGCGATAATAATAGATTTCCCGCACGGTTCCCAGGAAAATATTATTAGCGATCGTGGACCGCGATCGGTATTTAATTCAGCAATAAAATCGGCCTCCATTACAGGCTTCTCAAGCACGGCGAGGGGCGATTAAAATTAACGAATGATTTTAAAAGACGTCGGCCGCGTTTTAACGAGCGGGTAATTAAATCGATAAAACCATCGTGGAAACCGATCGCGCGTAGTACACTATGGCTCAAAAGTTGATCATGAAAATGTTGGTCTTTTTTGACGAAATCTGTCGATAACGTAGAATACGCGTAATATCGACGGTACTTACGTTCAATCCTTTCCGCTAAATACTCGATTCTCGATACAGAAACAAAGATTCACCAGCAAAATTAATACGATACGCCACGATAAATAGTGTTTCTCGAACTTTTTACTTACTTACTTTAAAAGTTGCAGTGAAAATTTTAACAATAATTTCTCATATCCCAAGGTATTTTCATTCCTCGTAAAATTGCATCACTTGTCTTTATGAAAAATATTTATAAAATTTATTTTCATAAGTATATCGAGATTTCAATTAAACGAACTAATGTTAGTTACTTAAAAAACGATTCGAACTTATTTATCGTCCTTGAAGCAAAAATACTTTGAAAAAATCTTCGAGGTTAATCCTAACCTATCAAACTTCACATGGAAATAAATATTCATTCGTTCCTTCAATTTAATCACGTTATGTAAGTGGCATTGTCGATACTTTTGAACAACACTGTAAGTGCACACGTATCCGGCGTACATTGGGAAAATTTATCGGGTGAACGAGGAACAGTTTCATTAAAGGAAATCCTTCGAAATCCTCGCGTGTTTTTCCACGTTTCTTAACGTGGCTCGTTCAGAAGGCAACCGCCTTCCTTAATGACCCGCGAACACTCTCCCAATCTGAATTCCCATCGACTCCTCGAGAAAATCTTCCCAATTTCATTGTTTCTCGTATCGCGATACCTACGTATACACCACGAAAGCAAACGAAACGTTGGTTCCTTTTTCTGTTGTTTCTTTTCTTTTCGTAAGACGTGTCCGCGATTACTTTTGTCTCGCGGCAAAATGTAGGCCGCGCAAAATGAAAGCTCGCTTCGTGTTTTCACGTTTGGGTTTCGTTTCATTTTACCCAATCTTGTTATGAGATTGATCTTTATGGTATTCTTACGGTACGAAAAGGAGAATATTTTTGTTGACATTAGGATTAGGTTAGGTGACGAATGGAAGGGATATTCAGATCAGATGCGTATTTCATTGTTAATATCGCGATAGTGATAAAAGAAATTGTAAATTGAGATCCGTTGAACAGAAATTTAGAAATATAAACATCTCTAAGAATTTCCTTATTGGTTGGAAAAAAATATGAAATGGATCAAACGATGCAATTGTTTTCGTTAGAGAAGAACAGTATTCTATCGATCCAATTGAAATACGACTCGACGATAAAAATTTATTTTTTTTTTTAATTTTCTGCAGTCGTACACGACGCACGAACGAAATCATCTATTCCCTCTCGTGTGTTTCCATTTTTGTTTGAATACAATTTGTTTTTTTGCAAAAATTTGTTGGAAAAATCGAAGCCTCTATTTTTAATCGTTTCGTGTTAATCCATGATGAAAAAGGGTCCCCTCCCCTCCCCTCCCCTCCTCGCCCGTGGGTTCTCACCTTTTCAAATTCGAGGAGGCGGAACGATGATTGTGATCCTCGTCGCTCGGTTCGTTAACGACGCCCCATTTACTCGCCTCTCGTTCTCTATTATCGAACGTGGAACGCGTTAGCCACGTATCGGCGATCCAGTTTCATTATTCTTGGTCCGGAAACGCGGCGTTTGCCGTGTTATTCAAGGAGAACGGATGGAATCAAAGGCTGGCGTGTATTTATAGACTCGGTTGGGTCGGTTGATAATTATTGAACGATCGGTTTCCCTCGGTGAACTGTACGCGCCGCGATGGAACTGTACATCCCGGCGGCACGAGGTAAGCAAATTGGAAATGTTCGAGAGTTTGTTGAACCATCTTGACGTTTGAGTTTCCCTCGCTGCAACGAGAATTGTCGACCAAAGTTTCCAAGATTTCGTTCGAGAATGGAACGAAAGTGATCCTCGAAGTGAAAATTTAATTCGATATGGATCCTCGACGGTAGTAGAGAGAGCGGAGTATATTAATACTATTCGCTTGCGTTGAAAAATAAAAGATATAATTTTTTCCTTTATTTCCTCCTCGTTGTTTTCTTTTTTCTTTCCCTTTTAAATCCAACTCTCTTCTTCGAAAAGATGCTTCTTTCGCAAAGATAATTTTTCAAGCAAAAAAAAAAAAAAACAATCGCGATGACCTCCTTTCATCCACATTTTTCACGATTTTTCACCCCCTTACAACTTGCTAGATTATTAATATCTCGATGAAAATATTTTTCACGCGGATAACTTCTAAGTAAAAATAATCGCAACGACCTCCTTCGAAGGGTTAATCCTTTGAAGAAGAGAGAAAAAAAAAAAAAGCAGCAAGAGACATTTTCCAAGAAAATATATTCCCTTCAGAAACGAAGAAAAGAAAGCAAAGTTTCCTTCCTGCATCGAATCACCGCGATTAAAAGCGAAAATCTCATTCGGTTACAATTAATTCTTCCCCAAGTTCCACTCGACAATCCCTCTCTCTCGAATTTAGATTTTATTTAATTACACCCCTCTGAAAAGTTTGCACGGAGACAACGCCTCCCTCCCTCCCTCCCTTCCTCCTTTCCTTCTCTCCTTCCTTCCTTCCTTCCTGCCTTCCTTCTATACCGGGACAACACCCGTGAAATTAAGCGCGCGCGTTTTCATTAGCGGATCACCGATTAAAGGATCTCTCTCTCTCTCTCCCTCTCTCGTTTTCGCGGTTTCATTTTTATTCATTATTCCCCTCGGTTTGAAGGGGAGGGCGGAGTGGTAGCCACTCGACTCTGATTCTCCGCGTTAAACGTTCGTTATCGCGATCGTCGAGCAACGTCGACACATTCGACCCCCCTCCACGCACGACTATACATATTAATCGGGGAATTAGCGAAACTGGTTTAAACTCTCCACCCTTCCTATTGTAGCGCAAAAACAAAGTTGGTGAATATTCATGGACGAGAAAACGATACGGATGCGATATAATGCGGTTTTAATTGTGGGAAACTTTTGCCCCCGAGCGAGAGAGCCAGTTTTTATTCGATACGACGCGGCAGCTTCCTTCCGATTAACGCGTTCACTGATCGAATTTCTCTGTGTACGACAAATACACATTCTTTCAGGGAATGAATACTTTTTTGCGACGTTTCGTAAATTCGACGAACGTATCGAGTCTTTGTGAACAATGGTGACGAGTCTTTGTGTGTAATTTACACGTGTGTAATTTTTTGATAAGAAAAAATAAGGTTTGAGAATTTTTCGTCGTACGTATAGTAAAGCATTTTTACGTGGGAATTAACTTTCATCTTATTGGAGACTTGGTAAAAATGGGATACGTTGAAAATATAGCAAAAACGCCATCTATTGGTATCTATCGGTAAAAGAGAGACGTAATATAGTTAGTGTTGCTTAAACGAAGTAAAATCGAACGATAATAAAAATTTCTCGTGTACGACAAATCACATTCTTGCAAGGAATGATTCTTTTTCGCGATGTTTCGTAAATTCGTTGAAGATATCAAAGTGTGTCTCGAGTGTCTGTGAATAATTGTGACGAATCTTTGTGTGTAATTTACACGTGTGTAATGTTTTGATAAAAACAAGGTTTGAGAATTTTCGTCGTATATATAATAACACAATTTTTGCATGGGAATTAACCTTCATCTTATTCGAGATTTATTAAAAATAAGTATATTGAAAAATATATTATATTCTTATATATGGAGATTATCTTTGTACGATTGTAATTTTGTTAAAAATGAGATACGTTGAAAATATAATAGAAACGCCATCTATCGCGATAGAAGAGAAACGAGAGACGTAATATAGTTGGTGTTGCTTTAACGAAATAAATTCGAACGATAATAAAAATTTTTCTTCTACGACAAATTACATTCTTGCAAGAAATAATTCCTTTTTACGGTGTTGAATGTATCGAGGTGCGTTTAAATCTCTGTAAACAATGCTGACGAATAACGGTCTTTGTTAATTTACATGGTGTACGACGTAAAACATTTTCACGTGGGAATTATCTTATGCGAGACTGTTGAAAAGTGTGATTGAATTTTCTTATAGGAATTATCTCTGTGGGGACTTTGTTAAACATGAATGTATAGTGACGAATAATATTCTTATATGGAGGTTATCTTTATAATTTCGTTAAAAATGAGATACGTTGAAGAAATAGCAGAAATGTCATCTATTGCAATGAAAAAGAAACGAGAATAATATAATTGTTACATGGACGTAATAAATTCGAACGATAAAAATTTCTCGTGTACGACAAATCACATTCTTGCGGAGAATGGATTCCTTTTTGTGTTTGAACTTCGTCGAATGTATCGAATGTGCCTGTGTTGAATCTCTGTAAACAATGTTGACGAGTCTTTCCATGTAATTTATCATGTATCTGTAATTTTCGATAAAAATAAGATTTAAGAATTTTCGTCGTACGATATTATTTTTACAATTTTGTTAAAAGTGAGGTTAAAAAGAAAAATAGCAGAAATATCATTTATCACGATAGAAGAGAAACGTAATATACTTGTGCATTGCATGGATGAAATAAATCCGAATAAGATAAGAATTTCTCGTTAATTCTACTCGAATGACGCGAACGATTCGATATTGTTAAAAATTCTTACGGATAATTAGATACAATGTAGTAGGATAACGCGAAATAAGAACATGGTAATACAACGCCAGAAACTTGTATGTTTTACCAAAGCAAGAGATAAAGTGTTACGTTATTACGGTATGCGAGATAGAAAACGCGAGCGTGATAAGAGGGCGCGGAGAACAAGATATGAATGCATAAAGAAGAAACGGCTAGAATGCGCAAGAGAGGAAATTAAGCGAGAAATATAACTGAAAAATGTCTTCCGTAAATCGCTGTTCATGGTTCAAAGAAATAAGAAATGAGTTGGTACAAACATTATATATATCTCATATATATATATATACCTTTGAATCTAAATAAAAAAGCAACGACTTTATTACTCGTTTCTAAAAAAAAATACACCGATTTTTCGATCTTCGATCGCATCTGATGAAAAAAAAAAAAGAAAGAAAACACGAAAGCAAAGCACATCGGTTCAACCGTTTAATAATCACGAAATAAGAGAAGCATACGGAGAAACGAGATTGAAATATTAATCGCGATAATCACGAAATATATCCGAATGATTGATGCGTGCGTGAGAGGTCACGCTCGAGGGGAATTGGCGTCGAAGCCGTTGCGTCTAAAAGCGCGTGATCCGTTAGTGGGTGTGCGGAACGGGTATATACCGATCTATACCGAGTATATCTCCTCGCTTTGGATCTCCCCTCCGTTCCCCCTCGACACGCTCCACCGTATAGAACCTACGTACAGAGCCGCGTTACGTAGCTGCAAGTCGTTTCTCACCGCGTCATTTCTCACGGTATTCCATTACGGATTTATATTTATATTCTCTCTCTCTCTCTTTTTCTCTCCTTCCAGATTTTTCCGCTTTTCCTCCTTCCACGTTCCTTCCTATTTTCAAATGAAAACTTTGGCCTAGGTCAACCGATTTTTCCTCTCGATTCTTATTATCCTCTTCTCGTTTATTCTCAGGCGAAAGAACATACGGTTTCGATTATATATGCACGGATCTTCTCGAAGATCACTTTTTCGATACGAGAAGATGCGAAAGAAAAAATTTTTGTTTGGAAAAAAAAAAAGACACGTGCGAACAACACGAAGAGGAGGGGTGTTGAAGAAACGAGACCCGAGGTCCCGTTCAGGGAAAATCCAGTCCCGGATAGGCGGCACGTGATGTATCACGCGTCAAACAGGCCGATTAATGCGGCCAGCCATCTTTAGCGGC